AGCTAAATCTCAGACAACCATGGTTGTGGGCATATAATTTCTCTTCTACAGAACTTCTATATTTCTCTGTCTTTTTTCTCTTTCCTCAATCCTCCTTCTTTTTAGACATGAAAACCTTAAAAAAAGAAATTGATGATACTTGTCAAAAAAAAAGAAGAAAGAAAAAGAAAAAGACATTGATGATTCAAAGAAGTAGGAACAATCAAATAACGAGAGAGAGATAGATTGGTAGAGAGAGAGAAAAGGAACAAGAAAATGGAATACATGAGTTTATGCAGACATACCAACATCTTCTTGAAGCCATCTTTGATCTTCTGAAACAGGCCTTTCTTCTTCTTCACCCCTTTCCCCTTCTCTCCAAGCTCTCTCTCTCCTCCACTTTCTCTCTCATCCTCTCCCACTTCTTCCATACGCCAGATCATCCTCTTGTTCAACGCACGAATTAAGGCAATGGGATGGTTCTTCCGACAAACCCCATTTGCACGACACGCCTCACCATAGCTATTGAAACTCTTTATCGCAAATTTCGAAGGTGAGTTTTCATCATACACAACCGTCTCGAACTTACCATCCGCCGCGGTTTTCACGCCCAGACAATCGTAATCCTCAGGCAACAGTTTCCATCTCAACTCCTTCTTTCCCCCGCTGCTACTGCCTGCTTCACCACCCATTCTCTCTCTTTCCCGATCGATGTATTTCTCTGTCGCTTTCCCTCTCCAGAATTTCAAAGAAGAGCAATCCTCAAGAACACCAAAATTTTGTTGCGGTGAGAGATTTACCAGATGGGGTGTGCTTTCTCTCTCTAAAATCGGCAGAGGAGGAAATCCAGAAGCTGAATTGTATTGTGATGGCTCAGTAATCGGGTTTCTTTGGTTTGGGTGAGCTAAGAACCAGAGGGTTAGAGATTTCCAAGAAAGGACGATCCAAACGAACTCCCAGAATCCTCCAGCAAAGAACCTCAAATGGTGAAACTACTCTGATTCGGTTCTTTATGCCAAGACTGCAACTTTCTTTCACTTTCTCTCTCTATGTATTTCAACAGAGAGACCCAAATGTGGAAGAGCTCTGCAACTTTTTTCCTTCCCCAAGAATGCTGCTCTCCCTCTCTATAATTTCCAGCAGAAAGGGATCAAAATGTGGGAATTATGTGTTTCGGTTCTCTGTGGAAAGGAAATTACTCTCTGTACCTCTGTGGCAAGGAAGTAACTCTGTCTCTCCCCCTGACAGTCGAGAGAGAAACGAAGAGGCTCTAATTCGATTATTCTTGGAAGGAGAAACTTCTCTCTCTAACATAAAAAATGGGGGTCTATCATTTTCTCTCTCTACATTCTTATAAGCTCTGCAACACACTGTCTTTGCTCATTTCCGGGGTTGTGATCAAAGAAAAGAGCGGGATTATTTGAACTTCTCTTCTTAGCTACATGGTTAGCATGGGCCAGCCCGCATATTGTAGGAATGCGAGCTTGCAAACAAAAATAAATTTTTTAAGTACATTTGATTCAAGGTTTGGCAGGGCTGCAACGCTACCAAAATAAGTAAACCCTCACCCCATAACTCATAAAAAAAATTGCATCCACCTCCTTGGATCTACCTAAAGATGTATTCTTTATACCTTACAATATAGAAATGCAGTCCAACCGGAATAAAACAATTATTCTACTATATATATATATGACCAAATTGCCACCAGTTTCCAATTCTATTTTCACCACTTCGCCATCGACCAAAAAAAAATATGAGATTTGAGTAGACACCCAGGCGAGCAAGAGATTTAGGGCGGTGTTTGTTTGGTAAAATATTTCAAAAGTGGAAAATCCAAGATCCACCAAATTATAAGCCCTCACTTCTTATTCCCATTGGGGAAATCCAAGATCCACCAAATTACACGCCAACATTTATTAGTCCCATTGGAAGCTGTAATTTAGTACTCGTGGCTTCCAATAGCTTCCATAAACGACGTAGAAAAAATGTTGGATAAAGAAGCTACACCTTCCATAAGCATATTTGTGGAAAAAGGGGCTTCAACAATCAAACATGCCCTAAAGACTCTACTTCCATTTTAATAACACCCAAGTAAGAAGTACTGCGAGGACCCAAAAATTTTGGGATTTGACACTTTCAAAAAGGGTGATAAACTAAGGGAAAAGTTTATATACGGTAGCATCGTCAACAGCTAGGGATGCAGCCTTTATCAGCCATCCAATATTTTGGATGGTTCAGATTTCGCATTTGAACGTCATACGCCAATACTTTCGACTGGACGTAACCGGTTACCCTTTCCATTTGGGGGTCTATCCCTCTCCACCGTATGCCTCTCTCTTTCTCTCCACCCTATGCCACTTTCTCTCATCAAAACTATGGTGGTTTTGCATTGCATGATTATTTCGAATGGGTCTTTATCATTGTTATAAACTGAGATTTTTTAGGCTCCTTTTCTCTGAACCATATCTTAAGAAAACCACCTCACCTTTTCTGTCTCTTTGCTAAGTCCATGACAGTTTTGCATAAATCCCATTTGTCTATTAAAAAAAAAATAAACATTTTTTTTGTAATTTCTGGTTTGCGCTCTAGTTTCCAATCAGGAATACCCAATGGGGGTTTCAATTATCCTCAAGACATTCCGCTGGTACTTCACCTCGATGCCATTGGTGAGAACAAGCCAAATCCACCCACCAAGACCAACTGTCTTTTTCACCACACCTTGAAGACCCACAACACATATTTGGTGCGAGTATTACTAGTGATCACACGTTGGTGTGTCTCGGAAGAAAAAGAGGCCCTCTTCTTCACTAGCTTCTTCCTTCTCAAATTCACAGGCCTTGCCATTAGAGGGCCCCTCCACCCCTTCTTCAAGCATCGCAAAATGCATTAAAAAAATAACTGATATTCGACAAAATTACAGAGAAAATTAAGCAACAATAGTGGAAGAGTGCAGCAGAAATTGAGCACTCCGCACCTCACTTCCCCCCTCTCTCACCAAACACTTTCTCTCTACACCTTTTCTTTGTTACTTCCTAATGTAAAACGAACATGGTTGTAAATTTGAGAGAAAATGCATATAAGATGTTTTCTCTCTCTATTGAAACCCAATTACCCCTCTTTTTCTCTCTAGTTAAGGGAAGGAAACTTGGACCACATTCTTAGCCATTGAAATGTTTGAACGGTGTAGATTGTTTCAACCTTACCTCTACAGGTACGAATGCATTTGTATCCCAACTGCACCCATAAACTAATTGATGAATTAAATTTTAAGGGCGAGGTTTATACAAGGTGCTCAACTTATATTGTACAAGTAAGATGCACCTTCAAAAATGTAGTTTTGGTGTTTGGAACCTCACGATGGCTTGAGATTCCAAGTTCAAGTATAATTATGAAAATTAAAATTTTAAAGACAGCATATTAAGCATATCTATAAACACTTCAAATATTAAAAATAAACATTCTAGATAACTTCTTACAAGATGAATTACTTAATGACTTGAAATTCTTTATCTTCTTTATATCATATATTTGAAGGTCAAAATGATCAATAAGAAAGTTTGCCAATTTCAGAACATTCTATACTACTAGATTGCTACCATAAATAAACATTTCTAAATTTTAATGCTGGTAGAAAAAAAAAAAACTCAAAAAATGCTACGGACTATTTCATTTTTGGATAGTCATAGTTAAGTATTTAAGAAGACCATGGATCCAATTGTTTCATTTATTATTCAGTGATTTTTAGGTGGATCCTTAACTTCAAGTTGAAAAGATTCTTAAATACCTCTTAGGGAAGCAAATTTAAAGTGTGCTCCTACATGGGAGTGCTATATGCATCTAATGAAATTTTCATAATAAAAATAGGTCTTGTCTATAAAGAAGCCATTTATCATTCCTACATGGAGGACATAATCATTTTTGTCCCTTAAATTTTAAAACGGGTGGTTGTCAAGAATGACATTGAATTGACACAAAGTTCCAAAAAAATAATAATTTAAACTTCGTAACTCACCCCAAACCATCCAAAATGACATCTATGCATAGGAATAATTGTGAACTCCATATAGAAAAGACAATCCCATAAAAATAAACTACTAAATTTGTTGGCCCTTGCCTTCAAAATGCTACTAGTGCTCCAAAAGTAGATGAAACAATTAGTAAGAAAAAATACACACAGCCAGCAAAATAAGTGGTGATATTTTGGTGGAATTATCGCATGGATTAAAATCTCCTCAGTTTTATACCCAAGTCCTTTTCGTTATGCTTTGTTGTATATCATGATATTCCTTCATCCGATATTGCTGAGAGCAAATTGCCTTTTTTAAGTTTTTTCAGTTACGAATTCTAGTGTGTCTGGTGTAGTTAAATGTTAGAAACATTTGACTACCCCATATTTCAAGTTTTTCATGAGTAAGAACTTTTTCAATGCTGAAATGATAAAACCATATTTAAAATCCACAGATGAGAAATTTGAGGTCGTCAGTTATCTCGAGCATTAGACCACTCCATCTTCGTTTTCCCTCCCTCTTCTCCCAAGTCCCTCTACTCAATAAATAGGGGAAAAATAAACAAGTTAATTTTTTTTATATTGCTCTTGAGATAAAGTGTTGAGCATATATACTATGCTCTCCCAAGAGGATATTGTGAATTAAGAAAAACATACTCTTGATGATGTTTTCAATCTGAAATTTGGAAAACTACCTAAGAATCACTAGATGACTATTTTTGAAGTAAAAATTTGAATTTTGAGATTTTTGATATGGAAGTCAAGCCCTCCAAAAATGGATGATCTATATTCAATATGAGGCATTTTTTTTTTTTTCTAGTACATAGAAATTTCAATTCAATTTTTTTTTTCTTCTTTTTTTTTTTTTCAATGAAGTTAATAGAGAAGACAATTTTTATATCGTTTCGTTTTTTAGCAAAAGATAACTTACGAAATATTATTATAAAAGGTCATTTGTGAAAGATGACTTACTAAAATATATTATAAAAGATCATACAACGAATGTACACATAAAATAAAAGAAGGAAGAGAGTGAAAGATCAGAAAAATGGAAGAAAGAGGAGGGACAAGACCTGGCCGAGGACACTCTGACTCGGTGGAGTTCCTCGGCTTTCGCCGAGGCCCAATACTGTGTCCCGAGTTTCTATAAATATTTTGTGCTCCAAATTTTTTCCAAATAATGTCTACTTGACTTATTGGTACTATTTATGCCTCAGTAGCCTCCATCCATGTTTTTTATGGTTCACACTGCAAATACCGCGAGATATCACCCCATTTTTTATTAAAAAATAGATGTGTTTTATTTTATTAAAAAAATTGTCTTTGTCTTACTGTATTAAAAATGTGTGTCATTAAGGTTCTTGATGCCAATAGCGTCCAAGATGTTTAATTTTTTTATTTTTATTTTTCAATTTATTGTTGAGAGTCTTGGAACTAATTTTGAGAGATGTTCAAATAAGGGTTAAAAAGATATTTTATTTTAATTTTTAGGCAAATTTATAGGATTTTAGTTTAGTTAAGATGAGCACAAGAGGCTTTCCTAGTTTCTTGGATGTCGTGGTCTATATTGATGAGCGCAAAAAGTAGATGGGTCAGGGGATTGGTCCCGTGAGAGCTAGAGAGTTCTTTAAAAAGAGTATCTAGAGGAGAGATGATAGGAAAGGATGGGAAAGGGGGTGATTTACATGATTTAGGGAGAGATATCCATGGTTAGTTACGTGAGAGATAATAAAAGCATTTTAATAAGGATTTGAAAGATGAACTTTGACGAAGTTTGTTCCAAATGTTATATTTCTCACTTTTTTTGAATAGTAGCATTCAACAGGGCAAGTTGTTATACTTCATTTTTGACATACTTATATCATCAGGGTGAATAAAGAGACAGCCAGTAGTAACCTTGTCCCGTCGGTGCCCAAGATGCTGGCACACCATGGGAACACTGTAGCAATAAGCCTAATATTCGGTGATCTTTGAAGAAATGTCAAAATGACCTCAAATTTCATAAGAGTGTAGTTTTGGATATCTTAAGAAACCCAATAAAGTTTCGTCGCGCTCTGACAAGTTTTGAGTTGATCAGGATGAAGTTTAGTTTTCAAATCCAGTTCCTATCATATTGAAAATAGACCCTATAACTATAGCCCTATTTTCTGGGCCTCAAACAGTATCAAACCATAGAAATTGGATCTGTAACATTAGAAAACCACTATGTACTAAATTTCGGCTCAATCGGGCCCTTCATGACCATTATGAGCCTAACTTACCATAAAAAATGAGATTTACACTATTGCGGTGCAACCTCGGTGAACCAGTTTCCATTTA